GCCCCAGGAGTTTCAGCTTCTTAAAAAAAAAAATTTTTTTTTAATGTTTATTTTTGACAGAGAGAGAGAGACAGAGCATGAGTAGGGGAGGGGCAGAGAGAGAGAGGGAGACACAGAATCCGAAGCAGGCTCCAGGCTCCGAGCTGTCAGCACAGAGCCCGACGCGGGGCTCGAACTCGCGAACGCAAGATCACAACCTGAGCCGAAGTCGGACGCTCAACCGACAGAGCCCCCCAGGTGCCCCAGGAGTTTCAGCATTTGATGTAATCATGGATCTTCTATCTCAACTCCAAACTGTCTCCTCCAGACTTGTTTCATGTGCAATGGTAAGGAACGTTGGTCTTGTGAGCTACTGCTGTTTGGGTTTTTTCCATTGCATTCTATGAATCTAATCCTAACCGACGTTGGTGCCAAAAGATGCGGAGGATCTTTGACATGAGACCCCCAGAAGTCTGTGGTCTGGGGTTTCAACAATGACCTAGAAAACCTCTGTTGCATTCCCATACACTAATAATGAAGCAGCAGGAAGTGAAATTAAGAAAGCATTCCCATTTACAGTTGCACCCCAAACAATAGAACTTGGCCGGAGAGGTGAAAGGCCAGTACTCTGGAAACTGTAGAACGCTGATGAAAGAAATTCCAGAGGACGCAAAGGAATGGAAAAGACATTCCGTGTTCGTGCATTGGAAGACCAAAAATTGTTCAAATAAACTTTTCCACGGAACTAGAACGAACAATGCTAAAATTTGGATAAAATCACAAAAGACCTCAGATCGCCAAAGCAATTCTTGAAAAAGAAAAACAAAACTGGAGATAGCACAATTCTAGATTTCAAGATATATTATAAAGTGGCAGCAATTAAAACAGTATGGCACGGGCATAAAAATAGACCCATAGCTCAATGGAACAGAACAGAAAATCCGGAAATGACTCCGCAATTATATGGCCAATTAATCTTTGACAAAGGAGGAGTGAATATGCATTGGGAAAAAGACAGTCTCTTTGTCAAATGATGTTGGGAAAACTGGACAGCAACAATGCAGAAGAATGAACCTGGACCACTTTCTTACACTTATCAAACTCAACAGCCCAAAAATAAATAATCCAATTTAAAAATGGACAGGAGACATGAAGAGACATTTCTCCAAAGAACACATCCAGAAGGCCAACAGACACATGCAAAGATGCTCAGCGTCACTCATCATCAGGGGAATGCAAATCGTATTACGCAAGTGAATAAGTCAATCAGAAAAAGACGGCTCTCCTATGTTTTCACTCATATGTGGAATTTGAGAAACTTAACAGAAGACCATAGGGGAAGGGAAGGAAAAATAAGTTATGGCAAACCATAAGAGACTCTTAAATACAGAGAACAAACTGAGGGTTGATGGGGATGGGGGGTTGGGAGGCAGGGAAAATGGGTGATGGGCACTGAGGAGGGCACTTGTTGGAATGAGCACTGAGTGCTGTATGTAAGTGATGAATCACGGGAATCTACTCCCAAAGCCAAGGCTACACCATATACACAGTATGTCAGCTAACTTGACAATAGAAAAAGAAACAAAAACAACCCACAATGAGATACCACCTCACACCTGTCAGAATGGCTCAACTAAAAAACACAAGACACAACAAGCAAGGACTCGGAGAAAAAGAAATCCTCTTGCACTGTTGGTGGGAATGCAAACTGAGTGCAGCCGCTCTGGAAAACAGGATGCAGGTTCCTCAAAAAGTTAAAAATAGAACTACCCTACGACCCAACAATCGCACTACTGGGTACTTGCCCAAAGGATACAAAAGCACTAATTCAAAGGGATCTATGCAGCCCCATGTTTACAGCAGCATTATTTACAATAGCCAAGATATGGAGACAGCCCAAGTGTCCATCGACTGATGAACGGATAAAGACGATGTGGTATATATACACAATGGAATATTACTCAGCCGTGAAAGAGAATGGAATCTTGCCATTTGCAATGACACGGATGGAACTAGAGTGTATTATGTGAAGCGAAACCGTCAGAGAAAGACAAATACCATATGATTGAACTCGTATATGGAACTTAAGAAACAAAACAGATGTGGGGCGCCTGGGTGGCGCAGTCGGTTAAGCGTCCGACTTCAGCCAGGTCATGATCTCGAGGTCCGTGAGTTCGAGCCCCGCGTCGGGCTCTGGGCTGATGGCTCAGAGCCTGGAGCCTGTTTCCGATTCTGTGTCTCCCTCTCTCTCTGCTCCTCCCCCGTTCATGCTATGTCTCTCTCTGTCCCAAAAATAAATAAAACGTTGAAAAAAAAATTTAAAAAAAAAGAAACAAAACAGATGAACGTAGGGGAAGGGGAAAAAAAGAGAAGGCAAACCCTAAGAGACTCTGAACGATAGAGAACAAACTGAGGGTTGATGGGGGGCGGGGTGGATAGGGAAAGTGGGGGGTGGAGATTGAAGAGGACACTTACCATGATGAAAAAATAAACTAAAATAAAAAAGAAGAAGAAGAAGACATACTGGCCTGAAAGCATATTGCAAAGGAAATCATGATGATGAGGAAGGCAGGGTAGGTGCCTAGAAACCACATCCACTGGGGTATATAGTGAATAAACTGGGAATGTTTAGGCAAAGATGAGCAGACCCAGGGAACACATTGGTGAGGGACACGTCCAGAGGACAGTGGCCAATTCTAGTCCAAACTCAAAGGCCTGACCACCGACAGCACTGAGTTCTGAGAGCAGGTGAAGACAGATGTCCCAGCTCAAGCAGAGAACGAATTTGCCATTCCTGTCTGCCTTTGTCTTCCTGTCAAGGCCTCAACAGATTGGACGGTGCCCCCCTGCACCGATCTTTATTCCCTCTACTGTTTCAAATGCTGATTTCTTCCAGAAACACCCTCGCCCACAGTAGAAAGAATGTTTCCCCAGCTATGTGAGCATCCCTTAGCCTAGTCAAGTTGCCACATAAAATTAACCATCATGGGTGGCTACCATTTGTTTAAGTGATGTGATTCTAAGAAAAATTAGAGACGGCTCTCCCCAAAAGTTGGGACTTTGGGCTAGAGTCTCCAATGTCTGCTTTTTGCCACAGAATCCTAGAACAATGCAAACCTAGAGTAGGCGCTCAATACACCTTTGCTGAATGAACAAGTACACTACCCACAAATCAGCTTCTATTGTGGTCCAAGCAGAAGAAAGAATAGAGAATTTTGATTGGAAAACAAATCTAAAGGCTCGTCTCTATGCGTGGGACAAAATGCCATTGACTGAAAAGCCTTTGGAGGCATAACTTAAAGACACCCTCGTTCCCTTGAATCTCACCAAGGCAGTAAGTGTGGGCTGTGGACATCCGAAAAGAACCGTCGCATACGGGAAAGTTGAGACCACGGCATAAAGATGACCCTTCCCATCAGAGAAAATGGCAGGAGGGGGGCAGTTAACCCCGAGCTGGAGGGGCTGTGGTGCCCTTAGGTCTTGTCTCCTTCTGGCCACTGGAGCCCAGTGCCCTCCCTCTCCTCCATAAGTGTTTTTTCTTTTGAAAAATCTCCATGGGGTGACTCCCTAGCACCCTTCAGGGGAACCTTATCTTTCACCCATAGGGGCTGAACTCGCTTCAGGGCAAAGTCCCCCTCCTCACAAGATAGAGGGACATCATATTTCCCCAGCTGTACATTTCCAAGAGCCCAAGATTCAATTTAAAATGACACTGGGGGCCCCTGGGTGGCTCAGTCAGTTAAGCGTCCCACTCTTGGTTTCAGCTCAGGTCGTGATCTCATGGTTCATGGGATCGAGCCCTGCGTCAGGCTCCACGCTGACAGCTCAGAGCCTGCTTGGGATTCTCTGTCTGTCTGTCTCTCTCTCAAGATAAATAAATAAACTTTAAAAATAAATTTAAAAAATAAAATGACATTGGACTGAACTTGGGTGGAGGGATTGGGGACAATAGGATAGTGTGGGGGGGAGGTCCTGGTGATGCAAAGAAGGATCCTGCCTCCCCATTCTCTTAACCATGCAGCACCCATGTGAGGTGCACACACACACACACACACACACACACACACTCATTCACCGTTTCCAAGGACAACAATAATCGTCAGGGATATCGGAGTTCAGACCCACTGAAAGGTAGGAAAACCTTTCCCCAGAAACCTGCCATCTGGGGCGAGAGAAGAGTGGTGTCCGTTTCTCTTTTATTCACCCTCTTGCTTGGAAACCATCTCGGAGGACAGCCACAGCACAGGAAATAGCCCCATTACTTTGCTGCCTTAAACAGCAGAGGCACTGTCCCTGGTGGGTCCTTGGGTTCCACAGAAGGTAGCAGAAGCTTTGAAAACCCTGCTTTTCCCGGGCCGGGTGCCCCCACACTAACCTCTGAAAGCAGAAGGGAGTCGCGATGAGGATTTATGGCCTCTGCACACAGCGCCCCCCCACCCCACTCTCCGCCCCGGGTGGGCGAGAATATTGGCTCTTCCTGTTACAGATGCAGCAAGTATATCAGGGGTCATGATTTATGGGACCACAGCAAGATTGCATCTGGAATAAAGTTTCCTCATAGCCAGAGAAGGAAAAGGAGCTGACCCGTGCCTTCCTACAGCCCTTCCCTAATGCCAGCACAATCACTCTGGGAGAAAATGATCAATTTCTTGCACAAAGACCCTCTCCTGCAGCCGACAGAGCGGTTAGCAGGGCTCGGAGCATCGCGCCGCACCCCTGGTTTTCCCCTCTCTCCATTATTCAAGCACTCAGTGTATTGTGGAAGGTTGAATAAGGCAAAATCATAATGCACATGCTTTTATCTCAAGGGTTGGTATTTTTAGTATGGAAGCCAGGCTAAATGAAATGAAAGTTAAGGGGGAAAAAAAATAAGAAGGAAGGGAAAATACATTGAGGCTTAGATCATTGGCTGAGATTCCGCAAACATTCTTCCGTTCTGAATCTCCAAGGAATGGTTCTTGTGGGTTTGCCTGGGGCGGGGGGGGGGGGGGAGCAGGACTCATTACAGGGCAGAGGGCAGGGCGAGGACTAGGGAGGGAGTCTATGCATCGTTGAGACTCATCCCTGCAAGGGAGAGGGCAGGGGGCCACAGTTTCTGAGCACCCACTGTGCGCCCTGTCCCGGGCACCTTCCCGTGCAGTCTCATTGACCCCTGCCCTGCAAGGCAGATCCCATGTCCCCCATTTTATAGGAGGTAAGACCGCCAGAGACACACCTGCTTGCCCGGGTCACTCAGCCGGGAACAGCGAAGCCAGGACTCAAGCTCCAGTCTGTCTGATGCCAACGTCTTTGGTCCTTCCCTACACCTGTCACCCCTGCCAGAGCAGATTTGTCTCTGGCCTCAGGAATGTAGACAATCGAAATATTCCCCCCTCCCCATGCCCCAAACCTGTTTTTCTGGATTAAGAGGAAGCTTTGGCCTAGGCAGGCTTTAGAAAATAATTAAGGAGTGCTGACAGGCCCCCTGGCTGGCTGGATCAGTGCAGTCTGGAACTGGTTGAGGGGCTGCGGGTCACAGCCCCAAATTCAGACCACGAGAGGAGGCTGAGACAATCTGTAGGGACCCAGGCAGGCAGCCAGCCAGTGGCTAGCCAGTCTCACCCACTTGGAAAGGGCAGATCTGGGACCCAGGGGCCGGTTTCGTGAGCCATCTCCCCGCCAGAAGGCAAGTTGAAACTTCTTGGAGACACAGAAGGACGTCTCTGTGCTTTAGGCGCAGACAGACCCGGGTTCAAATACCTGCCATCACTTACTGGCTGTGTGACCCGGGGCACGTTACTTCATCTCTCTGGGCCTCCATGTCCCCCTATCATGAGCACAACCATAACAACCTCATGGGATTGTCATTAAGTGAAACAAGACAGGCGCTGAAAATGCCACGCTATCCTTGAGGCCAAGGCTCTGTTTTGTCTTTGCAGTGGGTATAGGGGCTGCCTGGGGTGAGTCCTGTTTTCTTCCTTCTAGGGGGATGGCAACAGTCAGCGGACCGACCACCCGGGCAAGGGCTGAGCCAGCGTGCCCACAACAAGCGAGTACTGCGACCAGGCTCACTTGACATTGGAGGAGCTTAGCACTGTAACTTGCCCAAGGTCATACACAGGACGTCAGGGATTCCAACCAGGGCCCGCCTGGCCCCCCGAGCAAGCGTTCTTCATTAGCATGCTTCATGTTCCAAGAGATGTCAGGGAGCACGGCCCCACGGTGGACAAGGTTTCCGTGGTCCCCCTCGGTCCCATTCTCTAGGGACGCAAAGGGGTGTGTGCGTGTGCGAAGCCATGCTTGAGATGCCTGTGTGTCCCCAGTGCTGTCCAGGGAGCACAGCTGAGGGTTTAAGAAACCCCTGCTATGTGTGTGTGCGCGCGCGTGTGTGCACGTAGGAGTGTGGGCGCATTTGCATCCTCTTCTTTGAGAAAGAACAAGCTTTCTAGTTCCAGCAACATGCTTTCTGATGACCTCCTTCGACCCTCACCCCTCCCTCCCAGGCGAGCGAGTGCTGGCACGATTCTCCTCCTTCCGCAGGCTCAGAGAGGGTAAGTGCTTTGCCAGCCGCTGCGGACTCTCACCCCGGACCGGCTCCCCCTCACCAGCCTACCACGTGGTGCCAGGGCGTCTTCTTCCTGCGGAAGGTGGACATTCTCAGAAAGAGCCCCACTTCCCCGCAGAAGCCTGAGGGGCTGCCGGCTGAGGCAGAGGCGGGTGGCCCTGCGGGTTCCCTGCAGTCACGGGGAGACACAGCAGAGGCAGTGCTGAGGATCCGGTACCTGTGCCTTGGGCACCGCCCTTCTCTGTTCCACACTCCTGGGCCCCCACGTCCCCCGTGGCGTCCCAGAAAACCCCAGATGGGCCGTGGACACCTCACAGCGCAGGACAGGCTGCAGCCATTCGGGTCCCGATCTTCTTCCTAGGGCCATTCCGACCACAGCAGGTGACTGACGCCCCCGGGCCTGGGTGTCCTCATCCGGAACAAGGGGCGAGAACCCCATGGCATCCAAAGCTGGACGGCTTCAAAGAGATGGTGTGTGTGTGTGTGTGTGTGGCAAAACTATCAACACGAAGGCGAGGGGAGTAGGTGTGCCGGGAAAATTCTGGGCTTGCGGAATCAGGCGAAGGGCGAGCCCGTGCTGTTTATATCGTTGTCTTTCTCAGAGGAGACTTTGAGTTCTTTGAGCACAGGAGTCATGTTTCATTCATGATTGTACTCCTCAGGAAGTCCAACACAATACCTGTAAGAGAAATTCGCCATTTTTGTGCATTAGGTGCCTACTGTGTGCTTCCATCGTGCGGGACCGCCACCACGATCTCGCTTGTGATGAGCTGTGTGGTCCAGGAAAAACCAGTCCCCTGAATCACTGCAGGTACACAAAAGTCTCCAGGGCCAACATACCCTCTCTCTCTCCTCAAGTCTCTCTCTGCCTCCCCCATTACCTTAGGGCTCTCACCTCCTCCTCTTGCTTCAAATCAGATGGAGAGAGCTCCACACAGCATCTGATAAACTCACACACACTCAGGTAGGGACAACTGATAACCACTTGATGCGTTGTTCCTCCAAGGGATTATTTTAACTGTAAGAAAGATGGGAACTCAAAGCAAGTGTTCTTAACCTGGATTCGCGGGAAGCCTGAGTGTAAATTCAATGCATTCACACTTTCCTTCCTGGGGAGAAAACACATATCTTTTTATCAGATTTGTCACTGGTCTGTGAATCAAAGACGATTCAAGAAACGGTTCCCCAGAGCAGTGCCGTCCAATACAATTTTCTGCGTCGAAGGATCTCTGTCCAAGAATCACTGACCACCTGTGGCTCCTGAGCACTTAAAGTGTAGACAGTGGAGGTGAGGAACCGAATTATTAATTATATTCACAGTGAACTTCGATTTAAATTTCAGTAGCCATGCACAGCTGGTGGCTCTACCATTTGGATTTTTTTTTTAGTGTTTATTTATTTGTGTGAGAGAGAGACAGAGCATGAGTGGGGGAGGGGCAGAGAGAGAGAGAGAGAAAGAGGGAGACACAGCATCCGAAGCAGGCTCCAGGTTCTTTCAACGTTT